ATCATTCTCTTGGGGGCGCAGACTGAACTGCTGCTTCTCCCTCCTCCATTCCATGCGTGCTATCTTTTGTGTTTCTCTTTTCTCCCCCCTGCAGACGTCAGCTGTTTAAACGATATTGAATGATGGCGACAGTGCGCCGCGTTGTGTGTGTGTTGGCCGCTGCTCTGTGCTTCACGGCCTTGTGCGTGGCTGCTGCTGCTCCTGGTACTCCCGCTGCGCCCTCCACAGGTGGTGCTGCTGGTGCGCCTGATGTGTCGGCGAAGCAGACAGACGTCGCTGCAAAGACGGAGGCCGTGGAGGCAGCAAGGAAAGCGGAGGTAGAAGCAATTTCATTTAAAGATGCACTGAGTGAAGCGGAGACGGCACAGAAGGCGGCCAAGAAGGCAGCAGAGGACGCAAAGGACATTCTGACGGGGGGCGCCAATAATGCAGCGGAGCTTGCGGCCCAGGCTTCGCAGAAAACGTCAGATGCTGTAGAGGCGCTGAAGAAGCTTGTAACTGCAAGCTGTACTGTGGAATCCTTAAAACTGTCAACAGAAAAGAAGAAAGCTGAGGAAGCATTGAATCACGCTGAATTGGCTGTAGCGGATGCTACAAAGGCAGTGTCGGACTGTAAAGGGCTGGTGGAGAAGGCGAACAGAGAGGAGGAGAAAGTAAAGGCAGCTATGGTGAAGGCTACAGAAGCGGCGACGCGTATACCAACAACAGCGGTAAAAGTTGCTGCTCTGATTCAACGGGCCCAACAAGAAGCGAGTAAAGCAAGTGACCTAGTGATGAAGTACCGCACGGAAGTGGAAGAGGCAAACAAAGCAGTGGAGGTGCTTAGTGCAACGAATGTCACGCTTAGTGCGGCAACAAAAGTCGATGAAGCAGCCAAGAAAGTTCCATCCGGGGCAGTAATACCAGAAAAAGAATGCACAGAACTCAAACAATTGAAGCTTGATGGGTCTGAGACTGCTCCACTCGAAGTGACAACAATGGAAGGAGCAAAAGTGCGCACTGCTGAGGATATCCGGGAAACTGACAAACTTGAGGCCCTAATGAAGACAGCAATATTAAGCGCGGATAATGCAGTAAAGCTGGCGACAACTGAGAAGTCAGCCGCTGAAGCGGAGTTACAGCAAGTCAATAAGGATCTGGAAGCCGCTGAAAAGAAACAGAAGGAGAGTGAGAAAGAGAAAGAGGAGATTCTGGAAAGCGAAGTGAGTGAAAGGGATGAACAGAAAGGACTCAACCGTCCCCATCAACCTGACACCACTGATGCCACTTCGTCTCCTCCTTCTGGTGCGTCGTTGCCTACGGCCGATGGTACTGCGGATGGCGAGAAGCTTCTTGCTCAGCACACAGATGGCAGCGACGTCCC